ATAGTTTGCAATTTCTCTGAAGTTCCTTCTATATAACAGACACATTTTTAAAACATTTATTAACTTATTTTAAGAGATTAATACCTTACATTGACTATAATATGCTTGACCTCTAGCAGAGATACAGGCTTACTTTTCTCCTTTAAAAATGCATGCATTTTCACAAAATTATTTTTTTTCATAATTTTTTGAACATCTTTCCTGTAATGACATTTAAAAGCTTTTATACTCTAAAAGCAAAGGAATGTTAAAAGTTATATTCGTAGAAAGAGACACCAACGTTTTTCAGAAAGAGATGAAAAATGTGTGTGCTAAACATTTATATAATTAGTAAAGCTATTTTTTTCATTTTTTTAGTTTGTTGTCCATTTCAAAAGAAAATCAGTAAAATTAACTACTTGTCATCCATGAGTACTCGTTGCTGTGGCAACTAGGAAGTAAATTCTTGACTCTTTTCAAATATCAAGGTTTTTTCTAATTTTTACAGTAACCAGTACTGTCTCGTCATTGTTGGGTTCAAGTTAATAACCAAGTAACTTATTCCTTCAGTTTCTTGAACCTACTGCTGTTTCACTTTTAATATTGACGTTTATAATATTGTTAGTATAATATTGTTTCACTTTTAATATGTTCTGTAACACAGTCCAGTTTCGTCTGTATTATAAGTTTCTTATGGCTTGTATTAACGATAGGCTTGTTGATCTTCCACTTCATGATTACAGCCATTACCGAGTCTTTCCTTGCTTTTTTCCAGCCTACCAATTACCACCTCCTTTCCATTGAAAGATTTTTAATATTTGACAATGCTAAGTGGCATTTCTTCTTAACTCTCTGTGAACATAATATGCTTTCCCGAAGAGAAGATTTTGAATGCATAAATCTTAAAAGATGGGATACAGAAGTTGCATTTGCACCTCTTATCAGTTAGTATTCAAGAAGGAACTCTCCTTCATTTATAGTGGCTCTATTTTAGAAGATTGTTTTTGTTAAGATAAAATTCTGCCCCTCTGAAATCCAGTGAGGGCAAGAACTCTGAAAACAAAGATCCACAGGTACAGGGATCGGGAGTAAAAATATTTCAGTCAAACCCGTTTTGCTAAAGCAGTCCATACCTGAACGATAAAGCCTCGGTCCACAATACATTGCATTGAGGAATTACGAAAAGCTTTCATAGGTACAAATAAGACATTCTGGCACTGAAGAATCAGTGTTTTGCCTATCTGAGTTTAATAAGCAGGGGATGATATATTTGGTTTAATTCCTGGAAATATGATTGTAATAAACTGCTGAATTTATTAACCAGTGAGTTGAATAATCGGAGCTTACTGTATATTGAAAATCAGGAAAACTAGAAAATATCAATTTAAGTTCTGTTCTTCATCATCTAAGATAATGCTGTAGGTAAAAAGTATTGTGAGAAATGAAAGTCTAATATTTTTCTTATCACAGCTATTTCTGCTATCAGAAACCTTTTATTTTTCTAACTTTGAACTCAATCCCGATTTTCTTTTATATTTTCTGGGCATCGAAAAAAAAATTATCGACTCTTGATCATTAAATTACTCGATAATAATTCTACTAACGACACATTTCAATAAGCATGAGAATCGGTAGATAGCAGTTTTATGTGTGTATGTTATTACCCCTTTAATAAACTATCAGAAAAGACAGACGACTAATTTTAGCCTCTTTTGACAAGCTGATATTAAGGAAACAACATTTTCGGCTGAATAAATATAGAAAATCTTTACAAAATTAAATTAAATTAACATTTGCTTTCAAGCGGATGTCACTATACTAGATCCACAAATGTACAAACACTAATGGAAAGTTCCAAGCCAAAAACAAAATCTAGCAAATGATATTGAAATCTTGTTTGCTTTCATCATTTCCTCAAAAGAGCAACATAGACTTATAAGATCTCATATTTCATCTTATATAAAAATGGCGATTTGCGTCAATACTCAATGTGTGCCATTTTTCAGTCTTCTCTATATCGTTTATTTCATTTGCATCATTAGAAACGAAATGTAGTACGTGAATCGTTTACAGTAATCTCCTCTCATATTTACTGTACTTGGATTCGTATACACATGTTATTAATGATATTTGAAGCTGTACGTATTATGTAGAAATGTAATATAAAAAGATGTACGCATTTAATATCAGCAAAATTGAAAACATAGCCAGATACAAGAGGAATTAACCTATAAGATCTTTTTGGCTTAATTTTAAGGTATTCCTGGTAGATTTGCAAGTGTTTTGCAGACTTATGTCACGTAATTATTATAATTTTGTGAGGTAATATCATATATATTTAACAACTTATTTTCCAATATAACCAGAATTATGATGCAAATGTTATGGAATAAATTAAGGTACGTAGGCTTCTTTATAACATGCCTAAAACACAGCCTCTTCTCCTCCTGACAGTTAATCAGAGATGCATTTAAAAACATAGATCCCAAATCCACTGAACAATATTAAATACGATGGTAAGGTTGAAAGAAGAATAACAAAATTTAGTCTTGCACATTAGTATAGAAAAGATGTATTTGCGTTGAGGGAAAATAACACAATAATGAAATTTTTATCAATTAATTAAAATTAATATTTTGTTATAATTTTAATGTATAAAACTTAATATGAAATTTGAAAATTTATTCTTTCTAATGAAATTTCTATATAATATATTAAAGCTTAATGAAAAATGCATAGTCTGCAAACGATATATTACTATAAATCGTAAATTTGTAACATAAAAAGGACATATATTGATTAAGCTATATGGAATTATAGGATAGGATTTTCTAATTTTTAAAAAATAGTGGATTCTTTTACACTGGAATCTAGTGTAATGATAATTAAACTGTACAGTTCCAAGATAATTATATTTTTTTCTAAAGATAGAGGGTTTCTTTTTTTTTACAAAAGTGTATCAGAGGCTTTATCCGTGAGGATATGTTTTGATTATAGTACGTAACCAAAATCCGAACATTATATGTCAAAATAGCGCTAATTAGAAACTATGCACAATTTGTACCAAAAGTACAATACTGGCCATTAAAATTCAAACCGATAAGAACAAAAGTAGGATAACAAAGTTCATTTCACAGATTCTTCATAATCTTTACAAATTATATTGCCAATAGCTTGGGCAAACAGTGATATGATCAGTGCTGAATATGTGTATCATGAACTGAGCAATAACCGCTGCTATACAGAGAAGAGCAGGACGAGAAAAGGAAACCGAAGAAGATACTTTAGTTGGCATTTTGAGATATTGCAGTCCAGGCAGTTCTAATCCTCGTGAAAGATCATCTGCTGTAACAACTGGTGATCTTTGTACGTTTTACATAGTATACTAGAAATATTCTATCGGGAGAATATCTGATTGAATTCACCTGCCAAAGCATAATCATAACTCTTTGGGTGCCGCGGACGTGTCAGACAGTGATTTTGGTCAAGCACTGATTTTGGATCTAGGTTGTTTCTGAAGCAATGAGGCAACCATAGGTCTTAATACATCTGTAGGATAGCGTTAACTAGTAAGAAGGCGTGTATTAGAAGAGAGCTTTGTACCCATTTGCATCCTATGTCACAGCTCTAAATGCTAGGATGGTATTGATGATGTAAACGACAGTATTCTAACCAGTGCTTCGTATAGTAGCACTAGTCGCGCATGCATACATCATGCTATTTCATGTCTGAGAGATATCTACTTAAACAAATGGTGTTAAAGCATTCATGAGTCGATGTTCGAAGCTTAATGCACTCAAAAGCTACCATGCTGTATCACTGAAGATAAACAAAACCACTGCACTCTTCCAAACAGTTTATGATTCTCAAACCAATGTTTGACCATTCACTAGCCACTTCCTGCCTTGCATATACTTTATTTCTCGGGATAGGATGTGTAATGTAGCTCTACATTCCGTATGGGACATTCTCATAAGATGTATGTCCTGCTGGGCAGGTCATTGAAAGCCAGCATGCCGTTCTATCCGTCTTTCTTGGATCCATCAGTTCCCAATTCATTTGCCAATGATCGGATTTCAGCCAACCCGAACAACAGTTTGGCAGTATGATAATCAGCATTCATGATCCCGCATTCAGATTCGGATATATACTTCTGCCATTCAGCCTTCATACTCGTAGTATAGTTTGCATTTCTAGTCAAACAATCAATGAGAAAATATGACATTAGTTACGGATAACCTCTCCTCTCTTCGTAACATTACTTGTATATGCATCTGATTGCTAATCATTTTCATATTCTACTATACTCTTATTCCTAAGTAACGGCTGAGCAAGAATACTTATAGCTCGACTCGAAAATGGGCTGGCTGCATGAACGTTTTCGCCTGTTTTTCACGTGAAAAGTGAATGAGAGACAGGTATGCCTTCTCTAAAGTAAATAAATCTTAGTGGGTTTTGTCATAATTTGATAAATTCTAATCCTACTATTATAAAATGTTAATCTATATCGGCTGCTTCCTTCACGGTATTGAAATTTTAATGACAGGTAGAGCATATTCATATTTCAGGGCAAATCACAAACGTCTTTCCTGCTATTGCGATATTTATAGTACAATCAGTGTTTACATAAAATTGTAAATCTCATTTTTATCATTTAAATTTGTTCATAAGAAAATTAACCTTTCATCTATAACCCATGAAAGCCATAAAAAATGAAAGCTCTGTCTGGAATATACAAGCAATACACATTGAGTGAAATTTTAACGGGCACCAGGTAGCTTCTACTTCTTGTTTACAACAAGATGCTAAAGGAATTGAATCTCCTGTTATATAAGTTAGAATGTATTTCATATGTTTATAAACCTTATAAGCCCATAACGGCAATTTTCTTAATTTGCTTGTTTCAGTATTTTCCTTTAAAATATTGGCAAAAGAATTGTAGTTGGATGAAATTTCTCTATTTCTCGTAACATCCTTTTTTTCTCTCTCTTTTTCTTTCCATTTCTGGTCGTGATGTGCAGCAAAGTGTCGGCACTTACCCGAAACACCGAAGCACGGCCTCGTTATTGCTCCTAAGATTGACCATGGCATGAAGGCACGTTTCCTTTGTAAGGACGGTTACCGGCTGGTTGGATCCAATGTCACTGAATGCCATTATGGACAATGGACGCTTCCAACACCTGTCTGTAAAGAGAGTAAGTGGCAGGCACCATATTTTCATGGTTCATTTATATATCTCTTTTTGGTAAATTTGAATCTATTCCCTTGTTATGTGTTGCTACCCTTCTTCGTTTTGGACAATCATCTCTTTCGCGAATGATGATTGATTAGATTGCTATCAATGGATAATAATGCTTTAAATCAAAGTCAGCTCTTAACCCATTAATTGGACTGGACAACTGAATAAAAGAATAGGGCTTAAAGCATACACTTATGGGTCGTTTTATTAAAAATTAATTTCAACAGAAAATAGGATCTACATTATGTAGACAAATAGCAGATCCAGAACGGTCTAGTGTCAATGATGTAAATAATAATAGTAAAGTTTCCTACATTAATTTCATGGTTGTTGTTCATTGTATTTCCCTCCTGGTCTCCTCGGTTCTAGCGTTGCGAAGAAATTTACTACTGTCGAAATAAATCACATATATGTTATGTAGGAATAGGACACTCAAATACGTAAATTCCGCCAATATTGTGAAAGATTCGAAATTTGAAAACTTAAATGTTCTTGCTCTTTTCATCATTCGAGCCTTGCGAGTACCAGCTCTAAACAATCATTGCACATTTTAACTTAGAACTTTGAAAAATAAATCTACTAACGTCCAATAGACGTCTTCGGTAAAGGAACATAATTATGTTAATTTCAGTTCACTATAGCACTCCACATTTAGTGTTTACCTGCATTAACTTTTGAAATAATACCCACCGTCTACATGTGCATTGATTCAAAACGATTCTGATAAAAATAAAAAATTTGATCTATTACTCAATTAGTTTTAATATAAACGAAAAAACTGTACTTAGGTAAGAAAATTTATTATTTTTTTTTCAAAGGAAGAAGCAAGAAAATAGTAACCATGTTTCAAATTCTCCAATTTTAACTTTCATTTTGACGGTATTATTAGCTGTTCTTGCAGTATGAAACATGCTGTGTAACTGTAGATAAAAAATTCATTTTATTCATTTTTGCTCCTTTCCGGTTTGATTTCAATACTTCGGGTTTCTGTTCAATAACAATCGCAACAGAATTTTGCAGCGGGTTGGGAGGCATCAGGTTTTCTTTTTTTTTTCCAAAGCTTGACATTCAAGCATGAAGACGTCCTACAAATTCGCAACAAAAAAACAAATATTTTTAATTCTGAACTGTTACATATCAGGTAGTAAACTTCATATAGGAGAACGGGATTTCTAGAAAAGAATTTTCCTTCAAAGAGAAGTTTCAACAATTGTATGGTTTTTATAACGAATAAATGGTATTGTAAATATATGACTGCCTTTTACCAATCCTGTTTATTGCAGTATATGTGATAAATCTATATATTTCATTAAAGGTTTTCTAAAAAAATTAATTTAAGTGTTTTTATTTATTTTAACACATTCTGATTTTTGAAAATTTAAGTAATATTAAAGGGTATATTGAATATTCAAATTATTTTGAAATTACGAACACAAAGTTTCAAAGTTTTTTTTGATTACGTCTTTCTTTTACTAAAGTTAACAAGTGTGTTATTTTTGAAATCTTCAGTTAGAGTTCGATCACAGGAAATTTCTATCAATATTTCTTTTTCTTCACGAGATTTTTGAATTTAATATATTTGTGACATATCGGCAAACTAAGTATCTAATCTATCAACTAAACTAAAGGTGTTAAAATTTCTCGTGAAGGAATACGAATCTTGTGTCAGAAAAAGAGAACTAAGAGAGAAGGAGACAAAAAGTACTACAATTTTGACTTTGGACTGCGAAAATTATCCACAAACTTCTTTCAGTCGGTCAATTGAATTTCTTTGAAACATTTCACATTTACAAAAATTTCTTTTCTTTAGTTAATGACACTTAATACAATCCTGTCCTTCCTAACGCTTTTAGAATTCTTAGATCTTTATTTTTGAAGTTTGATTAGTGCTTTACTCAACAGATGATGTCATGTTTCATTTGTTCTGCCCATTTTAATTCAATATGAGTACAGTCGTCGCTGTCCATTGCCTTTGAACTTTGAAAGACCTTTCAAAACATTATTTTAAGTAGATTACATCCAATTCTGAGTGCACTGCCCAATTAGAAGTTTGAATTTAGAAAAAGACTGTCTTCTGTTCTATAAGGCAGTTTGTCCGTATCGTTAACCTCGACAGCACTGCCATCCACAACCATCAGGTCGTAGCTTTTCTTATGTTATGCATGATAAAAGTCTTCAACTACTCGGCATAAGGCATTCAACTACTCGGGCATCGATGTTGGTAAGAACTCCTCGATGTTCTTACGTACATCGATGAGTCAAAATAAAAACTCATCCTCAGACATAAATGAAACGCATTAAACAAGATCTTACGCTCTTTAACGAGAAAATTCCTTGATTCACCACAGCAAGCTACAGCAATCGAGTTCTTTTCGGCGTCATTCTCACATGGAATGGTCACATTGTAGAGTCATTAGGTTAATTGGAAGCAGAAAAGATGAAAAATTTGCAACCGCCTTCGCTGGGAATCGAACCACGGACCTCTGGAATACCGGCCCAGCGTGCTACCATTACACCACGAAGGCACGCTAGGGAAGTAGGAGAAATACCTTATAACATTACCAAATAAATTAGCAGAGCCATTGAGATGACCTCCAAAATCAAATGCCTCATTGACTGTTCCTCTGTATTGCACCTTACATGCAAAAAGCTGATTTAGGCTGCTGTCACCTGGCGCATTCTCACCTATGTCTTGCCTGCCTGGATTGCTCATGAAAAAAAAATGATTTCAATATGCTGCGGACTCTGCAAAGCACCTTTCTCAGAAAAATCACTGGAGATCCTTGGCTCATTAGGAATGAAAACATTCACAGAGACCTAAAAATTTATCCTATAATACACGACATCCACAGATTGAATAAAATGTTTTTCAACAAAGCTATAGATAACGATACTGTACTGACAATTTCAATTATGAACTTGTTGATACAGACTACATCCTTGGGCATTACAGTACCCACGCTCTCAGAAACGCCTTTCTCCCTTAATATGTTTTTCCACAAAAATTTGACCTTTAAAATCATAAAGTGTTAATTTATTCGAATTAATTTACCCTAGTTTCATGATTTTTGTTGACGGACGAATTTCTTCAGCTTTCTCCTACACCCGTAATTTGACATAGTCATCTCCTGAAAACCGCTCACATTTCTTATTTGTTGGAAAAGCCTTCAGGTCTTCAAACAGCTTCCTTCCATATCTAGAATATAATGCATACGTCAACTGTTCGTCTCTTTTAATTCCAGCTCTTTGGAGAAATTCTGTTTTCTGCGAGAAACGTTCTACTCCTCACAAACAAGTATCCCTTTATACATCAGGCCTGGGCCTCATTTTATTTATTTTTCTTTCTGCCTTTCTCATACTTTGAATCATATTTTAAGTTTGCAAGTGCTTGGTTTTCATACTGGAACTTCCTTAAAGGCTATTAATAGCGCATAAAATTATTATGTTCCGAAATTAGCATAACAACAAAGTGCAGAAATGGCAGCAAATGAAGTCCAACTTTCACAGAATTCTTTTTGCTTCTAAAGGAGAGCGATACTTGTCTGATATACCTCGAAATAGATAGAGATTTTGTTTAAAATCGACACCTAAAGGAAGTTGCTTTGATTAATTTAAGATGAGCGTAGATTTCGAATGGCTGTCTACAGAAGTTAAGAGTAACTAAAAGATTTATGGTCGCTGATACTGCTTAACTGTCCAATACAAAATAAAATTCAAATATTAAATTTAACTTAAACGTTGTTAACCACAATTTATGGATGTTACAAAACTAAACTTCTAACAAACTGAAAATTTAATAATTTTTTCAAACAGTACAACAGGCTTCTTGTCCTTACGGTAAGGTTACGATTTGAATAAATAGTATCTTATTCGAATCTAAAAATGCCTAGGATTGGAATGGATAACTAACTTTCTGAAGAACTTACTGAGTTCAGCCAAATTTCTCGGTAGGTAGTACTGCAAGAGCAGCAGATTTCTACAGTAGTAGGTAGTAGAATCACAGAGAAATCATTACTACGCTCACAGCTAACGTTAATTTCCTGTTATTAAACTAAGCTTCTTGCCATTCAAGTTACATAAGGCTCATCAGTGACCGAGCGAATAAGACCGCTGAATACTGGGAATTTGACCCTGGTTCGATTTTTGGCGAATCGGCTGGCTGCAGGTTTGGTTTTCGTGGTTTTCGTGGTTTGGTATAACGTGAATACGAGCCAATTTCTCTTAGAATGTCCTTCACGAAGGGCAACCCTTCCCTTAAGCAGATAGCCTTTCTGTGCTATGCAATGTTCCAATTACCAAACCAATCAAATTGTATAACTTCTAGTCTGAGAGCTAATCAACCAAAGAGCATGGAATAGAAATTAACTTAAAAATAACCGTTAGCAAACCTTTAAGTATAAGTTTCACAAATTATTAATTCTAATTACTTATTCTTCTTTCATTAAATATTTTTATTGGTCATTATATGTAAATTTTGAAATTCATGAGGTTGAAAAATTGCAGTATAATGTTTTATATATAAACGTTTACGTATTCATAAATTTTCAGCTACATTTAAAATAATCTTACTTGAAAAAGGAATTCCGTGTTGCAGATATTCATGAAATACAAAACGTACATAAAAAAGTTGCAGTAATGCCGAACTTTGTCGAATTTTTTTCCCATTTGATTGGCTATACTGAGTTATATAGTTATATAAAAATGTTCGTTCAGCCTTTCTCCCTTTACTTTGACATTATGAACTTTTTTTAAAATTCCCGAAAACAGCCTTATTAGTCCAAAGGGATTTGAATCCCGAAGGACTATTAGTTTCGTTTTGGCATTTTGCGTCGGACTCATAAATGTCGGTTCACTTTTCAAACTGTTGCCACAAAATGTTAGAGTCCTGCATTATATTTGAAGAAATTAAATAATGAAAAATCTGCATAAATGTATGTATATTTCTCGTATTGTGAT